GATAACGCACCCGTGCAATTCTTGTTTGGTGGAGTAAAGCGGTGGTGGGTAGCCTATCATTCTTCCAAACTGCCTGCAAACCCTGATGGGCAAGGGAATCTCGACCACATGGAAGAAAATAAGAGGAACGTTGCAGCGATACTCGTCTGACTCATCCCTAGTGACAAGACTCAGATAGTCCTAGAGCTTCAGAGCATCCCAAGAACACCAATGCACCTGAACATTTCGTAATTGAGTTAGGTTGTGATATAGTGTACATCGAACAAGACACATGTATGATAGTAAAGCGAGCGTAACCTGGTGCTGTGTCAGGATGTCGAGACAGACCGTGTACTCCCTGTACTTGCGCCTCGCATTCCCTCTTACTAACTTTGCTTGCGTCCAGATATACAGAGCTGTAGGCAGTGTATCCTACCCGTTCTAATGCTGCATTGAACACGATAATAAATTAGCCATTAATAATTTCATCATATGTAACTGCCTCGAAGAATATAGTGAACCGAAGTACTTACAGGGAAACCAGTAACAAGGGGCCTCCCAATGGGCCATCGTTCCCAACACCAAACCTGGAGTAGGTAGGAGCAACCCCCAAGGTTCGCATACCCTGAGGTGCGACGGCAGGCAACGCATAGCTATCGATACGTCCATGCCAGGACTGTGCTGCACCAGCTGTACGCCGCTATGTTATCCCACGACTAGCGTAGTATGTCAAGAAAGATCGAGCTGATGGTGTTGCCCGAAGCGTCTGGGAATAGGAAAGCACTAAGGAAGTGCTAGAGCCACACTCTAGCGAACTTGTCGATCTGAGCCTCATTAGCCTGTGGGTCCAAGTAATCAAAGTGCTCTGTGATCCACGACGACGAAACACCGAAACTTTTCCTGAAATTCACCAAAGAAAACGAGACCCGATGGCTACAGGAAAGCAATGTAAGTATTAAATAGGCTTGAATTGCTCACTTATTTTTCTTGAAAACCTCGTCGTCCGGTGGAAGAAAGCCAGTGAACTGAGCCACCAGCTCCCTCTAGTGATCGTTGTCAACTATACCTGTCACTGTAAGTCCCCCCAACCGAAGGCCAAAGATAGCCTTCACGTCCTGCATGGTCAAGGTCATCTCGCCGCAAGGTAAGTGGAATGTGTGGGTTTCATGCCTCCACCTGTTACAAGAATAGAACGACTGTTAGTTACCTCAAATTTGTTATAAGACTATTTACGTACAATGAAGGCACTTGCATCTGTCTACAGCTGTAGTAAGTAGTGCTGGGTCAAAGGACGGAAGATCGTAGTTGACAACACGGACAAGCTCTGGCACGCCGTATGTACGACGTGTAACGCTCGTCCCACTGGTGTGCCCTGGTGTGCGTGCGGGACCTTAAAGGAGGCAACAGCACCTCTGCGTCGGTGTCAGTCAAGAAGTGTGCTCGGTGCGGATCGTCGTACTCCACCTCAAGAAGGGGGTACAACTGGTGCTGCGTTGGAGGAGCCATCCTGTTACAAATTGATAAACAAAGGGTTAGAGTATTCAAATTAACAATATTCAAATTAACATTATGTAGCATTGTAAAATTTGAACTACTTGTTATGCAATACGAACACAATATGAAAGCGCATGTATATATTCAAAGTAACATTAACAGACATGTTAAACAACTTCACTAGGAAAATAAACAACTTCTATGTATGGACCTGCTGCCCTCGTCTTCTATGCCTGCTAGCCTTGTGACTAGGGTCTTTGCAAACGAAGCAAAGATTCCTGCCACGGGTCACGGGCGCTGCAGTGAAGGAGGTGGCGGGCAGCCGCCGTGCATGGCCGGAGGGCGTGGCGGACGGGCGGAGCGGGTGGCGCGCCGACGGGCGGGCGCGGCGGGAGTGGCGCGCGCGGCGTGGCGCGCGGCGCCGCGGCGCGCGCGCGGCGCGCGGGCGGCGGCAGCGCAGCGGCACGCTGGCAGCGCGTGTGGGGCGGCAAAGCGGCAGCGCGGTAGGCGCGTGGCGGCGGCGGGCGCGGGTGGTAGGGCGGGCGTGGCTGGCGGGATCGGGCCACGGGCCTTTAGCCGGCTCTACCGCGCCACCGATTAGGGCGCGTCACTACCGCGCTAAGATCGGTGGCGCGGCAAACCCTGCCACGTCACCGGTCAGCGCCCCGGTCGTTGTCATGGTGGCACGGCACAGGCGTTTCGCCACGTCAGGGAAATAGGCGCGGGCAAAAGTGTTAGTTTTGGGGGGAATAAAACAGTGTTAGATTTAAAATTAGTTTACAAAAAATGTTAAAAAAAAAACTACTGGCTAAGGACGAAACAAGCAAACAAAACAGGACACGCTACAATAAGCTGCAGCTGCGATAGGGCATCATGGTGTTTGTGCGAAATTCTAAGAAACTGACCTTTGTAGTCTTAGCTAGTGTAGTAGTACCACTAATGTTAGTGGAGCAATCATGTTGTGGCATCGGATATGTAATATGTTTGAAAAAACAAGAATCTTGCTGGACTTCTGTTAGAAATTGGAACGCATGGTTCTTAATTATAACAAGATTAGATGGAAAAAGTCAGACATTTTGATGATCTTCTCCACCGAAACAACAGTTTCAGAAATCAGAATAATAGGACTACGGAACATTTTGTCAGGACTCAGGTCTTAGAAATTTTCGTTATGTCGTATATGCTGTGGTTAATTACATAAATCCGCGTCATAGTGCCACCAGCCAATAAGAATCCACAGCCTGTTTGGGAGGCCGTATCGTATCGTGGATTATTTACTGCTGGCTAGTTTGGTGTGAGAGAAAAATACTGTTCCCGGCTGGAAATTTACGATCGTTTACGAGCAAGCGAACAGGCTGCCAGTGTTTGCCTACACCAAATCCGCGGCGGCACATCCTAATCAGAGCCGTCCGATCATGCAGGAACCGATCTAAGCCCCTTGTGCGTCTCGCGTACGTGCCTACTGCCTATATAAATAGCGCCCCCCTCCCACCCGGCAAATTACATCACGGGCTCACGGCTGAAGAACGACCTAGCTACGACTACAAGGCATCATCAGTAGTGTAGCAGTTGCTAGCACACACGATCTGTGACTGTGAGAGGTAACCAAACAGACCCATCTCCTTCATGTTGCAGTACTAACAGATTTGATGGTCTATATTCTTGCTTTATTGGCTATCCATATACTCCATCCGTCCCTAAATATTAGTCGCCACGATTTACATGTCGATAACTTTGACTCGATTTATAGAAAATACGTGCAACATTTCTATTTTCAAATAAATTTATTAAAAAACTAGATTCAAATATCTATCCAAAGATACTAATTATGTATTATAAATATTAATATTTTTTAATATATATTTAATCAACGTTATTTCTCGGGAATCGAAAACGACAGACATCTAAGGACGGATGGAGTATCTAGTAGATACATGCTGGTCATTGGCCCATTGCCACATGCTTTGTTGTTTGTATATATATAGTTCATTTTCATTCAACTGATGACTACGTTTGGATGACCTTGGTTGTTGGTTTTATAACGTGTATGTGTTTCTAGGGTTTTAGTGCCCGTGCAACTATATATATGGATTGCAAACTCTAATATGATTACGCTAGACAGTAATCTATCCGCACTCTGCCCAGGGTTTATTCATCTTTTTGCCGTACTAAGTGTTGATAAATAATTTCGTTGCACATGATTTTGTTTGCACTTCGCAGCTCTGTTCTCTCGACCATATATATCGAAACATGTTTTTGTGTACTGAGCCGGATAGGAGTGAATCAGAAATTGGAGTTATGGTGGGAGACTTTGGAGTGCAAAGGTTTTAGACTTAGTAGAACTAAAACTGAGTATATGAGATGTGACTTCGGCACTACTACTCGGGAGGAGGAAGATGTTAGTTTGGAAGGTCAAGTAGTGCCTAGGATGGATACCTTTCGATATTTAGGATCAATGCTACAGAGGGACGGAGATATTGATGAAGATGTTAGCCATAGAATCAAAGCAGGGTGGATGAAGTGGCGGCAAACGTCTGGTGTCCTATGTGACAAAAGGGTACCACAGAAGCAAAAAGGTAAGTTTTATAGGACGGCGATTAGACCTGCTATGTTGTATGGTGCAGAATGTTGGCCTACGAAAAGACGACATATTCAACAGCTAAGTGTCGCGAAAATGCGTATGTTGCGTTGGATTTGCGGGCATACAAGAAGGGATCGAGTTCGGAACGATGATATACGTGAGAGATTAGGGGTAGCGCCAATTGAAGAAAAGCTTGTCCAACACCGGTTGAGATGGTTTGGACATGTGCAACGGAGACCTTCAGATGCACCGGTGCGTAGTGGAATCCTAAGTCAGGATAGTAACGTGAAGAAAGGCAGAGGAAGACCGAAGTTGACTTGGGTAGAGGCAATAAAAGGAGACTTGAAAGGATGGAATATACCCAAAGACTTAGCCTTAGATAGGAATGCTTGGAAGACAGCTATTCACGTGCCTGAACCTTGATTGTTTCTGTTGGGTTTCAACTCTAGCCTACCCCAACTTATTTGGGACTTAAAGGCTTTGTTGTTATTGTTGTTGTTGTTGTATGCCCTGATATTGTAACAGAGAGGAAACGGCAACTCAATAGTAATTAGTATTTCTTTTTTAGTATCCAGGCGATGAATTAGGTTTCTGTTCAACAATAATGCTCGAAACATCATGAAGCCCCTGCCGATTGGCTTGTATTTGCACTGTGTAGTTCCCACATCTGAATTCATATATCTTTCTTTATCTGCATACGTGTTCTCAATTATTTTCCTACTACTACACATGACATGATTCAGTTAGGCATATATATGCTTATGCTAGTGTGTGACAGTGGTTCTGTGCACATTTCAATTAGATGCAGGATATATACTGCTGTTATATATAATACATACTTATTTGTGTTCCTCAGAAGCATTTTTATTTTCAATTACTGTATACTCGATCAGGATTTCTTTTGTACATGATCAATCATCAATTCAATTAGTGTTTTGTTTGCAAGATGGCTCGTACGAAGAATTGGGCTCGTAAGTCGACCGGAGGAAAGGCACCAAGGAAGCAACTCGTTCGAGCGATCTTTGTACGTGTATATATGTAAAAAAAATTGTATGTTAAGTATCATCCGTACTTGCGTGTTGAAACTTGTTCTAACATTAGTAGTATGTATGGCTTTGTGACCATAGGCTGCTGCTCTTAAGCCAGCGCCAGTAACAGGACGAGTGAAGAAGCCTCGTCGTTACCGCCCTGGAACCGTAGCTCTTCGGTACGTGCAAGTGCAACACAGCTGATTTTATTTCATGGTTGTTTTTGCTAGCATCAATTCAATTTTACGGCTGCAATTTTTTTTAAGATCCGGTTACCCGGTTTGATTTATCATAAGAAGAGTTCAGCATACAATTGTTAGATGCGCGAGAGGCGCGACCAGCCACAGCCTAGGTGTGGATCAGAGGTTTTGGAACCGTGTCGCAGCTGAATCTGAACCTCACATTTATTTAATTATTATCTTGCAGTGAAATTCGCAAGTATCAGAAGGGCACCAAGCTGCTCACCAGGAAGATGCCCTTCCAGAGGCTCGTCAGGGAGATCGCCCAGCTTCATCACACGGTATGGTTGCTAATTTGATCACCACATGCACGATCTGCAATTTTTCTTCCTTGTTTTTCCTTTTCTTTCTTTCGAAGCAGTTCTAATATCTGAATGCATCTTCATGCATGCATGGCTATATATATGCACATATGCAGAGTGACCTGCGTTTCCAGAGCCATGCGATCCTTGCTCTGCAGGAGGCGGCAGAGGCGTATCTCGTGGGTCTCTTCGAGGACACCAACCTGTGTGCCATCCATGCCAAGCGAGTGACCATCATGCCCAAAGATGTTCATCTGGCTACCAGGATCCGTGGCGAGAGGCACTAATCGTAATCGTATTGCGTTGCGTTGCGTTGCGTCGTTAATGGAGCTACCGACAACCTGCATGCTGCTTAGTTTGTTTTGTCGAGAAGCATTACCTTAAGTTTGTGTCAAACATTCTATATGTCGAATAACTAGCCAGTTAATGGTAGCCTCCGCTAGATTTTCTTTTGCCGGTGTGTAATAAGACAATAAGTTTTACGTAGCTGAAGTTATATATCTGGGTTTTTCTGCTTGTTTTCCTGGCTGTTCAATTTCCCTTGTTTTTTTCGTAACTGCAGTCATATCCGTCACAATTTTGTGCTTGCTTTCCTGGCTATTGAATTTCTTTTCACCAAGTCGTGGTACAAGAAACAATGCATAGGCGCGTCAGCTTTTGGATTCAGTCCCAGTAATAATTAAAGATTTAAGCAGGCACCAAAGAGGTGAAAAAAAAAACTCTGGCACCAAATAGAGAGGCACCAAAGATTTAACGGAGATAATAGCGCCTGGACGTCTAGACGTCCGTGTGCTGCATTTTTATTTTCAATAATGATACCCTCAGCGTCCATGCTATCTGCCCGTTTTCAATAATGATACACTCAGCGCGCCTGTTGCCCGCCTGTTTTCAATAATAATACCCTTAGAGCGTCTATGGATGCAGCTTCATACTCCGTTTCACCACGTGCTCCGTGCCTGTTGTCTGACCATGGATGCAGATTCGTGCTCCGCTTCGCCTCGTGCTCCGCACTTGCTACTCGCCCATGGATGCAGCTTCGTACTCCGCGCCTACTGCCACGCCCATAGATACAGCTTTGTGCTCCGCGCCTGCTGTCGCACCCGCTTTGCTTCTCGCGCGCACTTGGGGGCGCTGCGCCCGAGGAGACCACCTTCGCCTGCGCCCCCTTGGCATGCATGCTCATGAAACATTTATAACATAAAGCATTTGCTGTGGCATACGTCCGAAACAGATGAAATATTTGCAACATACGCTTGCAACATATGTGTATAGACACTGCAACATATGCAACATCTAGATCTATCACTTACAACATACATTTAAAACAACTGAAACATTTGAAGCATACACTTGCAACATATGTCTATAGCCAATGCAACATATGCAACGTCCAGATAAAACACTTGCAACATACGTTTTAAACAGCTAAAACATTTGAAACATATACTTGCAATATACGTGTATAGTCATTGCAACATATGCAACACCAAATCTACTTTTGCAATATTTAGATAAAAACATATGCAACATACATCTGAAACGCATGAAATATAGGGTTGCAACATGTACTCATCTATTTACTGCCCCCAATGGACGCTCGTTGACGCGGAGCTTGACGCCGACACAGAGCTCAATGCCACGGCGTAGAGGTCGGACTTTGGCTGTGTGCGGGGCGAGTCCAGGTGTGAGGCACGAGGTGCGGCGGAGCGCAGCACAAGGCGCAAGGCGCGGGCGACGTGAGGCGAGAGCCCCGCGCAGCGCAGGGCACAAGGCGCGGGTGGGGGCATGAGGCACCAGGCACGGGTGGGGCACGTGAGGCACGAGGCCGCAGGCACACGAGTCACGAGGCACAGGGTACGCCAGGCGTGGGAGCAGATGGGTCCCCGGCGGTAGAGAGCATTACCCAAGATTTAAGCAGCCATACGTAACTTCAGTTATATCAGTCACATTTATTTTTCTGCTTGTTTTCCTGGATGTTCAATTTCTTTTTACGTAACTGCGTCACTATTTTCTGCTTGCTTTCCGGGCTGTTGAATTTCGTTTGATGAGGTTGTGATGGACTTTTGGACTACGGAACATTTTGTCAGGACTCAGGTCTTAGAAATTCGTGGTCAAAGTTTGTCCGGAGACCGCAAATCACAATATAAAAGGACCCAAGAAGTGAAAACAAAAGGATGGATTAAAAGCCGGGAGGAGACGAAAAGATAACTATTCCTTCTGTTTGGTTTAGAAAGCGTACAAACATGGTAGGGTCTCCCAAATTACAATTTAACCATTTATTTATTTTATTTTATTTTATATTTTTTTAAATAACAAAATTATGATCATTGATAATATATTTGATTATAAATCTAGCCATATCAAGTTTGTATTATAATAGTTAAGAAAATATTGGTTAAACATTGTGAAGTTTATATCTTGATAGATATGTGGGCTTATAAACCGGACCGGGAGAAGTATTTATCAGCAATCATGACGTGTGCCGTGTTCATATTTGATGAAAATATGTTTGTGTGACAAAGGTGCTATCAAGTAAAACATCTAGGCTTTGCTGAGGACATCCGCAACCATGCCCCAAGGGGAACTAAGGTTATTTTTCTAACTTCTCTCATGTTCTAAGCCATTGCACACATGAGCACCTTAAAAAAAATCTAAAGCCGGCTGCCGGAGCAAGTTGAGGTATTGGAAAGAGAAGGGGCTAAGAGAATAAGAAATCACACTATTCGCTTGGCTGATAAGCCATGGCTGAAAGTACTGTTGGCTAATTTGCTGTGAGAGAAAAATATTGTTCGTTGGCTGAAAAGATACATCTTATAAGCCAAGCGAACATGACGTACAATACCATTTTCGTTCGTAACTGGAACCAAACCGAAAAAACTAAAATTGAATTTCCTCGGTCCTTACTTTTGAAAAGAACCATTTGGTTCAGTCAAACCAGCCCACCCTAGAGAGAAATAAAAAGGAAAATGGCATTGATATCCACACAACTACTATCTCTATCAAAAAAGATACAATTCTAACTTTCTATCAAGTCTATCAACTCAATCTTTCTTCTCTTTAGCTAAGTATAAAAAATATTATTTATGGTACCGAATAATTACAATTAGATTACTATAAAATATATTTTCATATTATACTTGTTTAAAGTCATAAATATTAATAATATTTTCTATAAACTTAGTCATTTTTTTAAAATGGCTCAGCCTAATCTAAAATTACTTTTTCTTTTTCTTTTGAGACATATGTAGTAATGGCTACGATCTAAATACTTGCAACTATTTTTTAAGCTATAGCTATCAATTAATTTTAGAGAACATAAACATAACATTTATCACTGGTTATAGGTAAAGGAGATTCACTTATTTTCAATGGCATGGAGATGATATAAGACTAGGAAATCACGAATAGACGCGTAGTGGATCCACATGAGAGTGTCCATTATATTACGGTAATTATGGGGGTAGGGCGTCCTTCCGCGACGGATGCTTCAGAGTCTCCATGGTGAGCCGCCTGCGCTAGCCCAAGGACCGCCCCTAACAGTAATTTTTATCTGCTCATCCACTCGCACTCGTGCCCAATTGTTAAAAAACAACTCACCGCACTCTCCACCGCACCTCCCTCGCCACGGCCCCTACACTCCACCAACCGGCATCTCCACCACGCTAGAGCGCAGCAGTCCGTCTTCCTCCCTCTCCACCATGCCTCTCGCTCGCCTCGGCCTTCTAGGATGCGTGGACCCGCCGCGACCTTCTCCACCGGACTTGCTGCGGCCTTCCCACTGGAGCGGTGAGCTCCGTGTCACCGGCGAGCTCCACACCGGTGAACTCCAAGCGCCGACGAGCCTCCATTTTCAAACAGCAAGGAGATATTACGCTAAAAGCGCGTGTTGCAAACATATGTTTCAAGTGTTTCAGATGTCTCAGAGGTATGTTCCAACTGTTTTATATCGGTGTTGCAAAAATAGATCGAGATGTTGCACATGTTGCAATGGCTATACACGTATGTTTTAAGTGTATGTTCCGGTTATTTCATTTGTTTCAGATATATGTTACAAGTGTTTGATCTGTATGTTGCAAAAGTAAATCTGTATGTTGCATATATATGCATGGTTGCAAGCGTATGTTAAGTATTTTCAGTTGCTTCAAACGTATGTTTCAAGTGTTTCATCTGGATGTTACATATATTTTGCAATGGCTACACACGTGTTTTTCTGATGGACATATATTATAAGTGTTTTAGTTGTTTCGAGCGTATGTTGCAAGTGTTTTATCTGGATGTTGTAAAAGTAGATCTGGTGTTGCAATGGAGCTCACCTGCCGTTCTGCATGCCTGTGGGAAACAAAGGGATGGAACGGGGAGCGGCGACGAGCGCAAGAAGCGGAGGGGGATGGCAGGGCATGGGCTATCCTCTCTGGGTGAAACCAGATAACTTTCGGCCTGTTCGGGAGGCCGTAAACGATCGTGGATTATTTACTGCTAGCTGGTTTGGTGTGAGAGAAAAACACTGTTCCTAACTAGAAATTTACGATCGTTTACGAACAAGCGAACGGGCTTTTAACGGATTGAGTGGGACCGAAATAACTTTACAGGGGCCGGAGCTGCGTCCGGACGTCTCTTGATGCCGGACGTCCGGGCGTTGGCGTCTCCCATTGTGTTGTCATTTTGCAGAGTGGCACCTCTGTTCAACCAACCGGAAGTCCGGTTCCGGCGGTTCTTCCACCGGCACCGTACTCCGTACGGGATGGTAGGTAAATAAAGAGAGTGATCACCGACGAATTCTGAGAATATGGATATGGTTAGCTCGTTAACAGAACACCAAGGAGCTAAATATCGTTACTAAAACAGAGAAACCAAACCATTTTTCATAAGTACTGACCGATACATTAAGACGGAGCAACTAAATTCCCGATCTGACAAACCTAGAACAAGAGCATGAGAAGGTGTTATTCCTCTGCGCTAGTAAAGTATTCAGCTGAGGCGACTGCAAATGCCGTCTCTTTGCTTCGTTACTCGGCGGCTGGAGCGCTGTGCTTCCGGTGATCCAGCGGATCGGAGATCAGAAGAACGCCCGGCTGCCATAGAACACCTTGGGAGACGGCTTCTCCTGCTGCCCTGCGGCGGCCGGCTTCTTCACCGCACTCGAGTCGGCACCAGTGGAGTCTGCGTCGGGTGTGGCTGCTGCGGGACTGCTCTTCCCGCTGCTACCGTTGTCTATGTCCAAGGCAGGGAGCTTCATTTTGGCTAGGGAATCCGTGAATTGCTGCATGCTCTTCATGTACATGTCCAT